CTCCAATACATTTTCAATCATATCCTGCAAGGAATTCATAAAATTAGAACATGTAAACTGTAAACAAACAGAAAGGCACCTGTTGGCAAAAAAATTAAATTGGATTTCCACTAGAATCTGATTTTAAAACAGAAATTGCTAGAGAAATATATGGCAAGGAAAAGATATGTTCTACTGTAAATGTGCAACCAGAGTCAAGCATAGATGATATTGATCAATTTCATCTTAGTAAAAGCATTCAGCAACTGAAGAAACTTCCTAGTTCTTATATGAAACAAAAGAGATACTCATGTAAGTACAGTAAAAAAAATTAGCCTATTTCACTACCTGCTCTTCCTCGTCTATTGCTCCGCTAAACTCTGCCCCATCTAACATCAGCTTCAATTCATCTTCAGTAACATAAGGTTCACTAATTTAAAGAGAAAACATGCAAAGCATTCAGAAAGCAGTCAATTCAAACTTAACACTTACAATACAAGCAATTGTAAACAAAAAGTGAAACAGAGAAAATGGAGGATATGATTTCCTTCATTTTCTCCCTTTCAGATCAAGTACTATAAACATTCCCATTGATAAATATGTAATGACTCTTCCCACTGGATATAATATCAAGGAAAGCCAAGCCGCTGGCCTGACCTAGTGTCACAGCAAACAGCATTAGTCAAATAATTTTAAATTGCTAGCAGTCATCAGCAAGGTAGAAAAGAGTTATATACATAGCAACATAGACCATCGAGTTTGAAAGAGAAAGTTAAATTTTCTCAGCAAAGTTTCAGTTGCCAATTCAAGAGGAAAATGGAAACTTAAATGGAAAACTTACCACAAATCTAGCAACCTCCACGGGATTGTGAACAGCTATACTTTTTGGAGTGATCTCAGTAAGAAGCAAAATAGCAACCTAGAATCATTTGGAAAAATTCAATGATTATAATTTCTTTCTTTCTTTCTTTTATGTTCTTATTTTTTTTTGTTCCCTCAACAAAGGTGCTATGCCTTTCAGTGTGCACAGATACATATAGACCATACTACATCAAGAATGAATAGTGCCCAAAAGGTTTGGTTACCTACAATATCGAAAAAAGAAAAATTAAAAATGACCAATGCCCAAGAGTTGAAATGCAAGTATCTATGTCATGGAAAGTCCTACATTCTGTAGTCTATCAGAATTACCCATCATGATTTCTTATTTATTCTTCATTCATTGTTTACAAAGGA